TTCAAATTTATTCTCTAAAACCATGGAAGGCCCTTAGGCAGCAAACTGCCATGATCATATCTGTTCTTGGATGGCAGTTGGAAGGAGGGAAGACAGTGGAGACACAAACACCATTGCAGCTTAATGATGCTGAGGGTTTGAACTGGGATACTGGCTGGAGAAACATATGAAGAGGTGTGGAGGACAGTGAAGCAGGGGCTCCACATGGTCATGAGTACTTGGCTTGGGAGTATCAGAGGCACAAGTTCACTCACTAGACTAGTCCGGTTGTTTTGCATTATCTGGAATTTTTTTATGAGCACTTACCATGTGCCAGGTATCATGTGATATTTTGCAAGCATTGGCCCACTGCATGCACACATCCACCCAAAGCTGTACTGTGTGTCTTGTCCTGTACTAGAGTGTGTGGGTGGGTGATTAGCTGATTTATCTTGTACCCTTTCATACCAGCACAGTCTATATTAAAAAGGCCTTAGATGGCTATACTGCAGAAGCATTAAATGACTGTAGGCAAAAAAAAAAAAGAAAAAAAAAGAATTAATTAATTAAACTGTGTTTAAAATTCTCAGAAAGTTGGGCAGTTTGGGATAAAAAATAGAATGTGTTATGCGAGGAGAGAAAAAAAGTGAGAATTCTGTTTTAAGCCTAAGTAATTAGGAAGAAACTATTTATATAGAAAACCCAGGAGAATCTGATTGATGTGGTAACATGTTTGTCTTTTTGCATAAGTTTTAAGTGCTACTAGAAGGATAATGGGTCTCCCAGAACTAAGAGTTGTGTATCTACATAGATATCGTGTAACCTCTAGGAGCTTCCTTTATTCAAGGAGGTTGAAAATATGAGGGCTCTTGGCACACAGAGGAAAAAGCATTTTGTTCTCAGGATGTTACTTGCTTAAGGGTTGACCAGGCCAAGGCTGGGGTAAAGACTTCAATGTGGAGCCCAGGAAAAAGCTGGAGATGGAGGCTACAGGGAAACCTGTTGTCAAAGTCAGATTTCGCACAACAGAATCAGGAACCAAGATAAAACCCAGTCTTAAGATAGGGAATCCAAAAAAAAAAAAAAAAAAAAAA